CTGCGGGGGGGGCAGCGATCTAAAGCACCCCCTCGCCGAGGAGGGGGGGAAGACTCCTCCTCCTCCTCCTCCTCCTCCTCCTCCTCGTCCCCGTCCTCCTCCTCGTCCTCCTCCCTGTCGCACCGCGAGGCCAATCAGGTGGGCAGGCCGGGCGTTTCGCCTGAGAGTTCCTCACCATCTACGATCGTGAAGCTTTTTAACCTGACATCGTCACGAACCCCGACCTTGGAGGACAAGTGGGCGCGAATTGCGAGACAGAGAAAAACTAAGAAGAGGATGCCTATAGGACGCATTCTGCTGGTTCCCGTGTTGTCCGTTTGACGCTGTGCCGCTTTGTCGAGGCACCTCCAGCCGTCGTGGGGCCCTCTTAGGGCTGTCCTGAGGCCCTGTTGGGCGCTTCGGGGGGCTTGCTGGAGACCTCCTAAGGTGAGCTCAGGAAATTGCCATACGAGCTAGGAAGTCTCGAGGCTGTCCGTTTGTCGCTGTGAGGCTTTGTCGAGGAACTTCCAGCAGTGCTGGAGCGGTGGGCCAGTCCTGGGGCCCTCTTGGGCGCTTCTGGGGGCTTCCTGGAGGCGTGATGAGGTCTTGAGGCTTGTTGGCGTCGTCTTGGGGGTCTCTTGGGGCCTCCTCAGGTCCTTCAGCCGTCCTGGCGCCCTCCTGAGGGAGTCCCGGGGCTGTCCGTTTTTCGCTCTGACGCTTTGTCGAGGCGCTTCCAGCAGTCCTGGGGTCTTGGGGCAGTCCTGGGGCCCTCTTGGGAGCTTCTGGGGGCTTCCTGGAGGCGTCTTGAGGTATTGAGGCATCTTGGGGTCTTCTTGGGGGTCTCTTGGGGTCTCGTCACGTTCCCGTGTTGTCCGCTTGACGCTGTGAGGCTTTGTCGAGGAACCACCAGCCGTCCTGGGGTTATCTTGGGGCAGTGCTGCGCCCATCTTGGGCGCTTCTGGGGGTTTGCTGGAGGTCTCTGGAAGGTTCTTGGGGGCCTCTTGGGGCCTCTTCAGGTGTTATTGGGGCCTCTTGGGAACTTCTTGGGAGCTTCTGGGGGCCTCTGGAGGGGTTATAGGGGCGGAGAACCCGAAACCTCGGATTTCGTCGGAGGTTGTGTCGGGAACGGTTCTGAAGAAACGATGGCCAAGAAAACGACGATGCGTCTTGGAAGTGGGCTCAGCACGCGACTAGGCGAGTTACGAGGTGAGCTCAGCACGTGTCCATGCGAGCCACATGGAAGGGAGGAGGTGAGCTCAGCTCGCAACCGTGCGAGTCACGAGGTGAGCTCAGCACGTTTCCATGCGAGCCACAGGGAAGGGAGGGGGCGCGGTTGCATCTGACGGGCGAGAAACTTGAGTTTGAAGGATCTGGGGGCTCCTGGGGGCCGTCGGGTTTGGTTGGAGGTTGTGTCGGGGACGTGTCTGACTGTAAGAGGACTGGATTGGACAACTTGCGGCGGTCGGGGGCCGCATGCGGCCGTGTTGAAGCCTCCTGGAGGCTTCTCGCGGGGCTTTCTGGCAATACGAAAAGTCGCTTGGGGTTTCTCTGCGACAGCTGTCCAGAGGGAAAGGCGGCCAGAAAAACAACGGTGCGTATTGGAGGTGAGCTCAGAATGCGACCATGGAGCCACTGGGTGAGCTCAGCACGTTCCCGTGCGAGCCCAGAAGAGGAAAGCCAGGGTGCGCATTATATTGGTTCCCGTGTGGTCTGACTGACGCTGTGCTGCTCAACGCGCATTGCATCGGTTCCCGTGTTGTCCGTTTGACGCCGTGAGGCTTTGTCGAAGCGCCTCCAGCCGTCGTGGGGCCCTCTTGGGGCTATCCTGAGGCCCTGTTGGGCGCTTCTGGGGGCTTGCTGAAGACCTCGTAAGGTGAGCTCTGGAAATTTCCGTACGAGCCAAGAAGTCCCGGGGTTGTCCATTTGTCGTTGTGACGCTTGGGGGCCTCTTGGGGCCTCCTCATGTCCTTCAGCCGTCCTGGGGCCCTCCTGAAGGAATCCCGGGGCTGTCCGTTTGTCGCTCTGACGCTTTGTCGAGGCGCTTCCAGCAGTCCTGGGATCTTGGGGCAGTCCTGGGGCTCTCTTGGGGGCTTGTCGGGGCTTTCTGGAGGCGTCTTGAGGTCTTGAGGCCTCTTGGGGTCTTCTTGGGCGTCACTTGGGGTCTCATCAGGTTCCCATGTTGTCCGTTTGACGCTGTGAGGCTTTGTCGAGGCGCCTCCAGCCGTCCTGGGGCTCTCTTGGGGCAGTGCTCGGCCCATCTTGGGCGCTTCTGGAGGCTTGCTGGAAGCCTCTGGAGGGTTCTTGGGGGCCTCTTGGGGCCTCTGCAGGGGTTATTGGGGCCTCTTGGGGGCTTCTTGGGAACCTCTGGGGGCTTCTGGTGGGGTCACTGGGGCGGAGAACCCGAAACATCGACCCCTGCCTCCGCTCCAGGGGCTCTCTTGGGGCGTGCCTGGGACGCTTGTGAGGCTGTGTTGGAGGCCTTTGGGGCCGTCTTGAGGACGTCTTGGGCCGCCTGAGCGCTCTCTTGGGGGTCTCTGAGGCTGCCTTGGGACATCTTGGGCCGTCTTGGAGCGGCGGGAAGCCGCGCAGGCGAAAACCAAACAAACCTTCAAAAACCTAAGGAAAACTAATGATTTTGGATGTTTCGGGCTCTCCTGGAAAGCGTCTTGGGGGCCTCTCGGGCGCCTTTTGAACTCCCTGGGGCATCGAGACGCCATATTGGGCGTCTCTGGGGGCTTCTGGTGGGGTCACTGGGGCGGAGAACCCGAAACATCGACCCCTGCCTCCGCCCCAGGGCTCTCTTGGGACGTGCGTGGAACACTTGAGAGGCCGTCTTGGAGGCCTCTTTGGGCCGTCTTGAGGACGTCTTGTGCAGTCTGAGCGCTCTGTTGGGGGTCTCTGAGGCTGCCTTGGGGCGTTCTTTGGGGCATCTTAGGCCGTCTTGGAGCGGCGGGAAGCCGAACAGGCGAAAACCCCCAAAACCTTCAGCTCTCCTGGAAAGCCTTTTGGGGGCCTCTCGGGGCGTCTTTTGGGCTCCCTGGACGTCGGGACGCCATATTGGGCGTCTCTGGGGGCGTCTAGAGGGGTCATTGGGGCGGAGAACCCGAAAAATCGGCCCCTGCCTCTGCTCCGGGGGCTCTCTTGGGGCGTGCCTGGAACACTTGTGAGGCCGTCTTGGAGGCCTCTTGGGTCGTCTTGAGGACTTTTTGAGCCGTCTGAGCGCTCTCTTGGGAGTCTCTGAGGCTGTCTTGGGGCGTTCTTTGGGACCTCTTGGGCCGTCTTGGAGCGGCGGGAAGCCGAACAGGCAAACCCCCCCCCCAAAAAAAACTTAAAAACCTAAGGACAACTAATGACTTTTAATGTTTCGGGCTCTCCTGGAAAGCCTCTTGGGGACCTCTCGGGGCGTCTTTTGGGCTTCTTGGGACGTCGGGGCGCCATATCGGGCGTCTTGGGCCGATCTTCCGGCCACTCGAGGCCTTCTTGAACCATCTTGTGGACCATCTTGGGGCCGTCCGTGCCTCTCGGAAGCGCGTCTGCGGAAATGGGGCCGTCTTCTGCCGTCTTCCGCCCGTGGCCAGGGCCATGTCCCGGGGGGTACCCCCACAGACCCCCCCAGGGGAACACTAAACGGGAACCCCTCCGCCAGGTCGGGGAAAAAAAAACAGTCTCACGGATTGTCGCCTCAGCGACGCGCACACCCGATTAGAATTATCCTGGCGAAGGTCCTAACCATATGCAGTTGTGTGTACCGTAATTGTGAATATCTGCTTCGGTGAAGCTCCCTATGGGGCCACGAAGCGCTGCACTGGGCGGCGGGGAACGCTGTACTGTGTGGGTGGTGTGCCGAATTAGGTTTCCGGGACGCATGCGGACGGTCCCACTGAGGGCTTCGGTGGAGCTCCCTATGGGGCCACGAAGCGCTCTACTGAGTGAGTGACTACCAAATTGGGTTACCGGGACGCATGCGGACGGTCCCACTGGGGGCTTCGGTGGAGCCCCCTATGGGGCCACTTAACGCTGCACTGCGCGGGTGAAAATGCGAAATTACATTTCCTGGACGCATACAGAGGGTGGCACTGGGGCCTTGGGTGGAACCCCTTACGTATGGGGCCAGGAAACGCTGCACTGGGTGGGTGAAAATGCCAAATTGGGCTTCCGGGGCGCATGCGGACGGTGGCACTGGGGCCTTCGGTGGAGCTCCCTATGGGGCCACGAAGCGCTGTACTGGGTGGGTGAAACGCAGGGAGGAGGGGGAGGAGGGCCACGAAACGCTGTACTGGGTGTGCGGGACGCATGCGGACCGTAGCGCTGGAACCTTCGGTGGGGCCCCCTTCTGGGGCCACGAAACGCTGTACTGGGTGCGCGGTAGCACTGGGACCTTCGGTGGGGCTCCCTATGGGGCCACGAAGCGCTGTACTGGGCGGGTGAAACGCAAGGAGGAAGGGGAGGAGGGCCACGAAACGCTGTACTGGGCGTTCGGGACGCATGCGGACGGTAGCATTGGGACCTTCGGTGGAGCTCCCTATGGGGCCACGAAACGCTGTACTGGGTGTGCGGGACGCATGCGGACGGTAGCACTGGGACCTTCGGTGGAGCTCCCTATGGGGCCACGAAGCGCTGTACTGGGTGTGCGGGACGCATGCGGACGGTAGCACTGGGACCTTCGGTGGAGCTCCTTATCACGAAACGCTGTACTGGGTGTGCGGGACGCATGCGGACGGTAGCACTGGGACCTTCGGTGGGGCTCCCTATGGGGCCACGAAACGCTGTACTGGGTGGGTGAAACGCAGGGAGGAGGGGGAGGAGGGCCACGAAACGCTGTACTGGGTGTGGGGGACGCATGCGGACGGTGGAGGAGGAGAGGGAAGAGGAGGAGAGAAGGAGAACGCGGGGACCGTCTCTTCAAAACGAGGACCCAACACCACAGGATGGTTGGGAACATAGCGTCGCGCACATTCGTTTAAAAGACTTGCAAGAGTTTCGCGGATTGAAGGCGGGTCGTTTTCAAAATATGGTTCTCG